AAAGTGACAGGAAGTGAGCAGAATGGGCTGGCGACCATTGTCTCAAAACATCTTCTTACTGTTGCTAGATGTTTCTTCTAAGTGTTACCTCTTCAGTGCTCTGTATTATTCAGGAACTCAGCTGCTAAGATGGCCATCAGAGCAGGGCTGGGCACTGCCTAAAGAAGGCACATAAAAGTGAAGGAACAGCGTCTTACCTGGAGGTGTCCTGGGGATGCAGTCATGGCAAGCTGGGCTTAAGGAAAAAACTGCAAACATCAGCATAGCTGAGCTCCTCTGAGGGGACCCTTTCAGTTGTAACTAGCTGGTGCCTTCGGAACAATAGGACTCTTGGTTTCTGAGATTATTCGTATTGATTGAAAAGTAATAGAGAAACTTCTGAAGTGAGCAGAAAAGCCCCTTGTGAAAATGGGACTTTTAAGTGAAAAAATTTCTTACTGCTCTGCCATTTTTCTGCCTGCACTCACCCACAATGCTGGAAAGACAGCAGTAATTTAAAAAACAGAGGGTGTGATTTTCAGCTTTTGTAAACTGAGCTCCAGTGAAGCCATATTGGTTCATGCCACCTTGGGACCTGGCATAAACATGTCTCTGTGATGGGCACAAGACAATAGGTTGGCATGGATGTAGTCAGAGGATGGTGCAGATTGCAGGGCTGGCAGCCCTGACCATAGCACAGAGCACATACATCTCATTTCCAAGTACGCAAAATGTTTTTAGATCACCTGATTCCAAATGGCAAATTTGACTTTTTAAACTGCAAATGTAGTTCTGGTCTGGGGATACTTTCCTTTGCAATTGCATGATGAAATAATCCCATAAAGCAAAGAAAAGCAGGTTGCATGTGACTTGATAGAATCCTTATTTATTTGTCATTTGACCCTGTACACTGCAAAATAATAATATGAATGCGCCATCTAAGCTATTAATACATTATGTACATACAGAGAAGGAACAGTTAATTTTACATGAAATGGAAAAGGCACGTAATGCAGTGATACACTATGATCATTTTGAGTTGGCCAAGTTCCAGCTGCAATATGTTTATGCTGCCTAGTGTAAATGTTCCTGGGACTCTGAAGATGCTCCTCACTGTTTCACAGGCTGGACATCACCTATTTCCAAAGGAAAAGGGAATGGTTTGTGAAAGGGAAGTAAGTTGTTTCATCCTTCCTCTGCTTCTGAATATGGTCAGAGGGATTTTGTGCAGAGCAGATCATGTGTTCTAACTTCGAACTTCTCTTTGTAGAAAACTCTTAGACCTGAAGAGAAAGTTTAAATGTGTAAAGTTTGGGACAATATTGTGCATTTGCTTCTTTAATGGATAAGTGAGCATGAACGAATGATTTTACTTTCAGCTTTGAAGTCAAATAATGAGATTGATTAAACAAATGTAATTTTGAAATATTTTTAGTCTTCTGCCTGGAGATACCTCCATGTTAATGGAGGTCATCAGTGCTTTTTGAGAAACCAGAACCCAGTTGTGGTATTTTATTCTTTATACAAGCACAAATACTCCCCACAACTCTCAGATGTTACTGCTCCTCCCTGAATGTCTGTGCTTCTGTCTGCATTTTATAATACCCCTGGGCTTAGAAGCAGTAAATAGCTTGACATCTGCTATATCAGTCTTTATCTATGGTTTAAATTTCAGCAAAGATGATATTAGACACTTGTTATAATGTATTCTATTTTGTTTAACTATTGTTCCCTGGTTGAGATGTGGCTCGGAAGGGTCAGTCTTCCTAACCATGTATTTCATGGTCACTATAGCATGTTAATACAGTGGCAGTTTTGGGACATTTTGTGCTTCTCCAGGCTGCCATTGAGGTTTTCCAGCTGCAGCATCTGCCTCCCTGCCTTCTTTGGATGTTGCCTTGTTAATTCAGCTTTCCAGACAGTGTATTTAGAGCTGGCATTTTGCCTTTTGAGCCTTTTCTTGTTTGTTTCTTATGAGATCATAGCGTTTTAATATTGCATATTTTAATCTCTCTTTGAGATGAAATGTGCTGCCTCTAAGTTCTCTTGCACAGATCAGCTTTGGTAGGTAATTTTCTTCCTGACTCACCCTTGTCCTCCCTCTCTTTCTTATGGCCTCATAGCATGAAAGTCCAGTTTCACCCTTGCTGTGATCCAGCTTTTGCCTCCACTTTCCCCAAGTACCATCCACTTTCATTTCCTTTTCTTCCCTCACTTTTGAGTGAATTTTCACCACTCTTAGTTTTATCTTTTCCTCTCCACTGAGACTGACAGCAATCACAACTTACTCTAATCTCAGTTTAAAGGTTTTTCCCCTGCCTTCTGTCTCCTTGACTTATCTTCTACAAACCACACTCATATTTCACTGTGAGATTTTCTCTTTGTTGTGCTTTTATGGGTGTCTTTTTAATTCTTTAGGAGCATATTCCTCCAGAGCTTTCTTTGGTCTGTATGAAAACTCTTCAGGCTTTCATCTTCTCTGCCTTTTCCTTCCTCTGTACATGTTCCTGGGTATCTCGCTCAGCCCTACAGATTCTTTGTGGCAGCACTTTCTTGCATATTTTATTGCCTCTCTACATACTGTTTTTCTACCGTCTCCACAGTTAATCCAGAAAGTTACACCACCAAGAAGAGCAGATTTATTTTCCAGCCACTTCCTTATTCTTGCTCTGTCTTCCATTGTGAACAATAACTCTTTCCTTCAGGATAGTTCTCCATGCAAACTGCCTCCATCTTCACCTCCTTTTTTCCTTTGAATCATACAACTTAGTCTGGAAGGGACCTGCTGATGTCATTTAGTCCAACCTCCTGCTCAAAGAAGAGCAAACGTCAAAGTTACATCTTTATTATCACCATTGTACTATTTCTTTATTATAACCACTCTGCTATTTCTGAAATGACCTGATTTCTAGTTTTCTTTCTCTATCTCTGCTATTCACTGAGATCTCTATCAATTTTATTTCTCCTTTTAGCCCACGGACTAGGAATCCAAGGACATAAAGCTGATGTGTGGAAGCATCTTTCCATCTGCTTTATGCATTCAACACTGCTTCTGCTATTTGTGCCCGGTTCTTCTAGATTCTCAGTTTTTCAGAGCTGTCTGTTTCTCTCTGTCCCAAGCTCTTCCCAGCCTGCAGCCTTACGGCTCTTCTCCACTTACTTACTGCTCTCCCTCTTTTTATCACAGGTTCCTATCTTTGCCTGCTTTGCCACCTCCTAGGCAGAGATGGCCTCACCTTTGTGTCTCTCCCAGCTTTTTTAGGGTGAGACTAAAGAAACATGTGTAACAATCTGAACAAATCATCCTACTTCTCTTGTGGTCTCTCATTCCCACATTCTGTTCTTTCGGTGTTTGCTGCCTCAAAATGTACACTCAGTCAATTTCTTCTTCCAATATTTTCTCTTTCTGAAAATGATCACACTTAACAAACACACTTTATTATGCCTTAGCAGTGTCTCAGAGGGCAGATGCTGGGCTAAACCAAGTTTCACTTAAAAGTTATAAAAGCTGTAATTACATAACGCTGTAGAATCACAGGCTGGTTTGGGTTGGAAGGGACCTTAAAGATCAGCCAGTTCCACCCTCCCTGCCATGGGCAGGGACACCTTCCCCTAGACCAGGTTTCCAAGCCCCATCCAACCTGGCCTTGAACACTACCATGATTTGAAAAGATCTACCTTGAATCTCTGCTATCTCTTATCCTCCATCATACTTTATTAACTTATTTTTCCACTGCTTCCTTAGTTGCCATTTGAACTCTCCAGATTTAGACTGCAGCTGTACAACAACAATTGCATTCAAGATAATAAGCTTCAGTACTAAAGTTGTAAATTGGGCTAGAATAAAATCTGTTGTGCATTTTCAATGTAACTACATTCTGCTCTTTTAGCTCGGCTTGAATCCTGCCATCCACTCACATTTTCTGTTGTGCTTTGTTTTGAAAGATATTGGTGAAGACTGCAAAAAATCCAGAATGTGCTCATGATCATAGTTACTGCTGATCATTGAATACAAAAACAAACATAAGTGACATTGATCTTCAGTAATCCCTTAAGGGGTTCATTCAAAATGATTTATGAACTGATCATCAATTAAAAAGATGAGTTAAACTCTTGGATACTGAGTGTGCATACTCTATTACGCAACTTCTGGAATAACCATCTGGGGTTCGATGCATATATCTGGGATGTTTCACAAAAGAAATGCCATCATGGACTTTCCACTCCACTGCTGCATTACTGTGGGTTCAGTTTGTGTGGGAGCAATGTTTATGCTTTAATTTCTTGTCTACATGTGAAAATCAAATGGATGAGTTACTGCTAAAATTTGCCTCTACATTTCAAAGAGCCCCTTTGATCTGGGTGTATTTTTGGCACATCTTTTCCTGCTACAAATACAATCATTAAATCTCTTTAATATTTTCAAATGTCTATTTCATCACAAGATTTCTTCCAAATTTCTCCTGGTATTCCATTACATTTTATGTGTTTCTTTTTCAACGAACAGTTGCCATCCTTTTGCTGCTGAGGTTTATGAGGTAGTTAAATGGAATTATCCCTGTTTTAAACAAGGAAAATTGAGGCATAAAAATTTATTTGTCCATTATCATATGAGAAGTCTGAGCTTCAGGAGAAGCACCGAAACAGTCATAATTATTTCCAAGTCAGTGTTTTACTTGTAAGCCATTTCTGCCTCTTTTCTGGTATTTTCCATGGGAAACCTTTCTGAGCATGCTTTTTGGCAGCCAGTGTAAATTTGCAATGTGAGAAGCAATAGCTTTTTAAAATGGACTATCAGGGAATATTGTAGTAAGAAAATAGCAATAGTGTGGATGCACAGAATTCATTTAGGGTGTTCAGATTCCATGTCCCTTAAGAAGTCAAATTGGGCCCACTGAATATTTTAGGACACAGTCTTTTATACTCTGAGAAATATATGTTTTTGCGGGAACTGAAATTCTTTTCAGTAGAAGGTGGAAGGGCAGCGTGTAAAATGAGAGGCATGGAGGAAAGAAAACCAATTTAATTTGAAGCATTTATTTTGGGGAGGTTTTGCACAGCTTCCTTTTAATCCCTGATTAACAGATGAAAGTAGATACGCTAAGACAGAGCTCTAGTACTAAACCTTTGATAACAGAATTACAGTGTCTTTATTGTACAGGCTCACTTGATTTGTCTCTATCATCTTCTACAGCAGAGATTCCTAGGCAGTCAAAGGACAGCACAAATGAGAAGCTGTTATTCGTGTTGCGTCTGAGACAGGCACTTACATGTATCCTGGAAGCCATTACTGTCTGTAATGCCTACTGTTGATTATCAAGGCTGGAGTTTCCAGTGCAAATAAAAATTGTCCTTGGATGCATTGTCCAAAACCACGATAGAAGGCATTGGTTCCCATAAATGCTGTGAGAAATTTTATGCTATTGAACTTAAAAGGAAAATACCGAAAATATCGAAAGCCCAGAGTCATTGTGATCTTTATAATGAGTATTCCTGGTACCAGACTGAAAATTAACATAGCTAACATGTACACTGTCCACTTTCAGCCATTTTCCGGGATGGAGGAGTGCTTGCTTCTAAATCAGTCTTTCCATCGGCGGTGGCTGCACCATGTTCCACATCTCTACCCGGGATCCCTCCTTCTCCTGCCGGCTGGGGCTGTAGGTCCCTTGAGTTGCCCGTTTATTGGCAGCGATGACTGAAATCACAACTGCCAAGAAGAGGATCAACAACAAGGCCAGCGTTACTGAGCCAATGGAGGTGAATATGTTCGAGATCAAGTCAGTTGTCAACTGGAAGGATTGAAATAATCGCAATGTAATTTCTGTCAAGAGAATACGCAGACACACTTGAGCTACCATGGGAAGAAAACAAAAAACATTCTATGGACAGGGCTTTGCATAGATGAGCTACTGCCAAAGCACTGTTTATTGGTAGAGAAGTACATTACCCCCTGCAGGTTCTGTTCTTTTGACTTTTCAGAAAATTACATACACCATGCTGTATATTTAATATACAAGGCAGAGCTGGATGAATTCACACAATGACCCATTTCATTTGACAGCCTCCTTTCTGCTTGAAAATAACCTGTAAGTTAGTCTGTCTGTGGATTGTAATTCAGCAATTACTTGTTTAATCATTTTAATAATAATTCATTTTCCCTAGTTTGGTTGGGAACACTTTATTGCTGGTGTTCGCTACTACAAGTTAAACATGAGCTATTTTGACTAGATGTATTTTTAATCACCTTTGTGTTTTTCTTGCTGGAGGAGTCAAGTTTATGTGAATACTTAGATATAGAAAATCTGCTTACTGTAAATAGTTTTGTAAAATGCACCGTCTCTGCAGCATCCCTGCCAGTAAACTTTCCTACCAGCATGATTGCATGAAATAAGTGTACAGAGGCTGCACACGAGTGCAACTGAAATCTATGCAGTGAGAAAGCAATCCATATATTTTCACAAATACATTTTAAAATATCCAGCTCTTCTTCTACATACAGGCTCTACAGCTTCATCAACAGAAACACAAGCAGCACAGTACAGGATGAACATAAGGATGCTCTGAGGTTTTTTCTGTTTTCATGTGGCAGGGAGAAATGTAATGATGTCAGAAGGCACAATGTGCATAAACAAATGTGCCAGGTGAAAAGCTTGAGAGCAGAGAAGTTTTATAGTTTGTAGCTGAATGTTTTATACATACCTATATATGTGCTTTTATGTGTAAAACATGCTTCTGGTAAGGTAAGCCAATGAAGTGATGTGGTTAGTGTGGAAAAGTGGTCACTATGGACAGAATGACCCTAGCAGGAATTGAACTTCTGGGCAGATTCTGCCATCCATCATCTTTTGATTTGTATTACAAGTGACAGCTGAACTGCCATAGATGGAAGTGTGCTTGAGGCTGAACTTTCAAATCCCAAAGTATTTAGAAATGGAAGACAGCAGGTCGAAGCCCATTTCCCAGTTAGATGCTGCATGTTACAGGATACTTTAGTGACCTGCTTACTCGTCACTTCTAAGGAAGTGCAATTACAGTCCTGAGAATAATGATAATTTTGCATTCAGCAATGGATGTCCTGTAAGTGGATGTTATTGCTGTGCGTGCATTGCTTGGACTTATTCCTTTGCAGAACATGCCAGAGGGAAAATATTAAAACAATCCTTCCTCTTTTTTAATGTCTCCACCTCCACGCTGATGTAAAGAGTCTTACTATAATATTAATAAGTTGGGCTCAGGGATTCTCTCTCAGGGATGCATGATCAGCTAGGGTATTTTCCTCTGTCCTTGGTAGCTAAATATATGGTTTCTATGATTTTAAAAACATTTTTCCAATAGAAGTCATTTCAGTGCAGGTGACAGCCCACATGACTCCAGCCCCCCCAAAAGGTGGTCTATTAAATTGTATTGGATTGGGAAGGTCATTTCATCTTTAGATGATGCAGCAGATATATTTGAGATGTTAGTTTTCCTCTGTACTGTACTAGACTATATGACCCTTGTTCCTCTTTTTTTCAGAGACACTGCAACTTTTTAATGAAATCTTTATTCTCAGAAGCTGTGTTTTATTGTCACTGTCTGCTCTAGGAAACTGAGGACCAAGATAATCTAAGTTAACTCTCATCCAGGGGTTAAATAGGACATTTCTTTCATGAAAGAAATTCACTACCGCAAGCAAATGGTAAAGCCTGGTCTTTGATATATGTAATTTCTGAACCTACTCTCTTATTTTCCAGCCCATGCTCTTTCTATTCCTGTTGTAAGTCTGTCTGTATCTATGGAGGCATTTTCATTTATTAGATCATCCAAAGTAATTTTGTAACTTTAAGAAAAAATATGCAAAAGAATCAGTGAGAAAAAACCTCTTATTAAAACTTATTAAAATCCATTCACACTTCTAAACCTTGTTCTCAAGTTAAAACAATCATAACAGGGCATTTTTTCATTCTGCACTAGATTATTACAGAAACCTTACCCACAGCTATCCACTACACATTTTGTTTCAATTAATTTTTTTTCTGTCTAATAACCACTGTTAATTAATTGGATTCAGTTTGGTCAATCAGTGACTTGAACTTGAAAAAAATACTGAAAATTGCCTGTATTGACTGTAGATGTGTTGGACAAAACACTTCCTATTAAGCCTGTAGGTTAAAAAAAGTTATTCCACCAACTAAAATCCAGACAGCTGGGGTTTTCACCATGACCAGATACAGAAGTTAATTCTATTTCTGTGTTTATGTTGCTTCTAATTTCTAACTACAAAAAAAAAAAAAGGCCTTTATTATTATCTTTTTAGGCCTTTATCTAAAAGGCCTATTATTATCTTTTTTGGGTGGATTCTATTGAGACCCAACTCCCCCCCCCCCCCAATCTACCATTCAAGTGCTGTTCCCTGGTTTATCAGCCCACAGATCACTGCCTAAGTATACACTGTAGGTAGCCCCTTAAGCGCTAGCACTGACCTGATAATAAGAGTTGCCAGAAGGCTCTGCAGTCTGGTCCCATCAAAATCAACCACTTCTTTAGTAATGAATGGCTGAACAGTTGAATTAACTTCGAAAATCATCTGGCTGGTCTGCAAAAATACATCTGAAAAGTTCTGTCCCCTGTCATCTCAGTCCATTTACTGCAGTATTTGGTGGTGATGATAGACTGAAATGATTATAACTGACGATCCCGGAGAGAAAAAGGATTGAGAAGCGTTTTTAGAAACATAGTGCTGCTGAGACAGCAGAACAAGAGGTTTTCTGTTACTGACCCTACTGTGTATTTTGCATAATGATGGGGAGTGGCCTTTTAAAAATCAGCTTGAAAGTAAAATAGTCCCTTATCGCTGCTTCAGGCTCTTCTGGTAAGTCCTTGCCTGTTGCTTCCACCATAGATGGATCTAGGCTATGAACCTCTGCTGTTTCCCAGAGCAGAGCCCCTCTGACCACCATGGGGCTGCTCAGGTGTTTAGCTGCTTACCTCGGTGTTCACACCTATGTAGCAGATCGCCCACAGCTGCAAGCCTATGGGTGTCCTAAGGCATGGGGTGTTGAGGCACGCACAGCTGATGTCTCTCTGATTAGGCTACAACATCACTTTTCAGCTTGATATCACGCAGGCTGCTATTCTCTTCCCCATGTTAGCTTGTTAAGATCTGGTTATTGAATGATTGCCTGGGACATGGTCACTTGAATTCCGCATCTGGAATATTGTGTCCAGTTCTGGGCCCCTCAGTTCAAGAAGGACAGGGACCTGCTGGAGAGAGTCCAGCGCAGGGCAACGAAAATGATTAAGGGAGTGGAGCATCTCCCTTACGAGGAAAGACTGAGGGAGCTGGGTCTCTATAGTTTAGAGAAGAGGAGACTGAGGGGTGACCTTATTAGTGTCTGTAAATATATAAAGGGGGAGTGTCACGAGGATGGAGCCAGGCTCTACTCAGTGGCAAACAATGATAGGACAAGGGGTAATGGGTACAAACTGGAACACAAGAGGTTCCACTTAAACTTGAGAAGAAACTTCTTCTCAGTGAGGGTGACGGAACACTGGAACAGGCTGCCCAGGGAGGTTGTGGAGTCTCCTTCCCTGGAGACATTCAAAACCCAGCTGGACACATTCCTGTGTAACATTATCTAGGTGTTCCTGCTCCGGCCGGGGGATTGGACTAGATGATCTTTTGAGGTCCCTTCCAATCTCTAGCATACTGTGATACTGTAATATGCAGTTTTTTGATGTGTTTATTACACAGCCCTGGCAGAGTCCCGTGCGAGAGGTGTTCTGTGACTTAGAGCTTCAAAAGCAGAAGGGGAAACTATGGAAAGGGAAGGATAAAGCCAGGCAAAATTCATTCTGTCTCAGCACAAATGAAAAAAGCCACATGAAGAGAAATGTTACTGTTTTTTTTGCTAAAGACCTTTGTTGTTAGGGAAGCCTATGAGACCCACATACTCTGTAATAGCCTTTCAGAAGTAATTCTTGCTAACGAATACTGCATGGTGATCACAGCTATTTCTGAAGGTTACTTAAGCACTGCTTATGGATAGGTAAATATATGTAGGGTAACTGAAGGAGGGTTAATTTACTGACTGGGCAATACCTTAGAGATTTGTACTGACCTTTGAGCAGGAGGTTGGACTGGGAGACCTCCTGAGGCCTCTTCCAACCTGAATTATCTTATAAACCTGTTTAAAAGAGTGAGAGTTCCCCTGCCCTTCAAATACAGCAGCTGCCAGTAAAAGCTCTATCCTTAATGGTAATGGATGCTGATGGCAAGATGATGTCATGTGCTGTGGCAGTACCAATAAAACAAAGTCTGCTAACACTAGAAAGCCAGTCTGCTTCTCACTGAGATATTTTATGTAGCATATTTTATTTATATGTCTTTGGATGTCAGCTGGAGCAAGGCAAATTTATTTTGGAAATATTGAGAAGAAAAAGGAAGAAAAAATATTCTTGAATTCAGTTTTCATGTAGTGATTATTTAATCTAAAAAGAGAGGAAGAAATGCAGAAAAAAACCCTTGCCTTTAAGAAACAAATCTTTTGGCTTTTCCCTGGTGGTTTCATTTCAAAGTTGATTAAGTTTTTAGGGTTTTAAAATTATAAAATAAAAATGAGTTAAAATGTTTAGATTAGAGAAAATGAATCATTGGATAGAATGAAACTTCATTGTAGGGCTGGGTTTTGCTTTTCATTTGGTTATTGAAATAGATTGGCTATTCTACCTTTTGTCCTTGATTTGCTTTGTGGATGAACAATGTGGTTAAGGAAGGTCCAGTTCACAAGTAGATAAATGCTCAGTAGCA